AAATATAAAAGTTCATTTTATATAACATTCAATGAATAAAAGAAAAAAAAAATCACTCTTTTAGATTCAGTAAACTTATTTGACTGGGCGGTTATGCCGGTGAGACATTTAAAATAGCCTGGGAAGTCAAATGAAAGGTGAAGCGTGTAATTTCTGTGCTATTAGCAGCACTAAAGAGAACTGCAAACATAATGACTTCAGACAAGCCCTTGTTTTTTATTATCTGACAAGCAGGTCATCCCAAATTCTATACCAATAATGTTGAAAACACTTTCATTTTAAAGGTGTTAGTTTTGCAGAAATTACACACTTCCCACTTAAGGTCATATCAAAGCCAAAATAAGCCTATTTTTATGTCTCTTCAATTGATATGATGGCACTTGCCACCAGATGAATTAAACATATGACACATAGCAGGGGGGCTGGAAATAACAGAGGTCTTATCAAGGAAAGAGCCATCATTAATTTAACCGGAACCTTTCTGCCATCATCAAGCATCAGAGGTTACCGTCTCATGCACACCGGGTAGGCAAGAGCGGTTTATGTGGCATGGGCTTTAAAAACAGACCCCTAATCTTTTTTTCCACTCACCCCTCCCCTCTTCTCATCTACCCCCCTCAAATCCCGTGTCAGAAATGGGTCAGTGTTACAGGCACGCAACATACCCCCAATACCTCGGCAAACTGCCAAACTTCCTCCAACCGCTACACAAAGAAACCTGTTATAGTTGAAATTATGCATTTAAGACCTTTTTTGTGATGCTACTGTTAATTTGGTACACAAGCATTTTTAAATATATATTTTGTAGTTAATATTTGCCATTGTCGAGCTGTTAGACCACTGAGGAAGAGCCAAGAATGTAACGTTTAAAGGTAGGGTATGTTTTTCATAAACACTTTTCGTTATAGGCCAACTGGTTGAAACTCTCTTCATATCCTGATTATTGTGGGGACTTGTCCCCTTCAATGTCAACAGTGGTTACGGCACTATTTGAAACGTCAGTGAGTAAATATGAAAGAATTACATTTTTTGGGTGAACTATCCATTTAAAACTCCAGAACAACTGGTTCCAGTGTCAAGTTCTGCCTCTCATTTTCTTTGTATTTGATCTTCTCTCATCTCCTACTAGCCATGAAATAGTCTCGGACACTGCTGATCATGTTATTTCCCTAAATTATGTTTCCAAGCATGTGAGTGGGTTTGTGAGTGAGTGGAGCACGTGAATGAGAGGATGGTTCGTGACTGCAGCTTTGTGGATTTTCATGGTGATAAAGACCCCCCGTGGTGCTCACTGTACCATGAGCCAATGCTGAGATTCTCATCTGGACCCACAGTGCCAACACATTACATGACAGCAGGATGGCCGTTGACTGGGGAATTGGGGAGGGGGATGTAGACTATAGGACTTGGGGCAGACGATTGCCTTCAGCAGTCATGGGTGAATTTGACGCCTGGATGAGTTCTCCCAATTCCCTCCATCCCCTTCCGCCTTCACGCACACTTCCTCGCGTGGAAGGAGAAGAAGGGCAGTGGCTGGGAAGAATCACCTTTGCCCGCATGTTGATCTACAGCCCAACGCACACAGAGACAAACAAGCTGGAAGTGATGGGGGTGGAGCGTGGTTTTCCATTGTTCTTATGCAAGAGAAATAAGAACACTTCTTTTTTTGCAATGGCTTTTTCAATAAAGCTTTGAGTTTTAAAAGAAGCTTCACAACTCATCCATAATCTATACATAACTAGCCTATGGGAATAGAATACAAATTCACACCCGCCAACAGAGGGAGTTGAGAAATTTTGCCAGCCATTAATATTTCTCTTACTAGCCATGAAATTGTATTTTCATTTAAAATATATATAATTATATTTACCGGTAAATAAATTCAGTTCCTTTGTGGAACCAGAGAGTAAAACGTATTGTATTATTATATAGATGAATATATATTAGCAATGCAGAGGTCATTGTATCATTCACATAATCATATGTTTTAGGTAAATGTTCTCTAAAACACATTTAAAACATAGATATACAACATTCAAAGGTTTCATTATGTTTCATTAGTAATGTTTTTAAAAGAAGTCTAGACTCTTATGCTCACCAAGCCTGCATTTTTGTGATGGCAAAGCTGAATTTTCAGCAGCCATTATTCGCGGTCTTCAGCGTCATATTATCTTTCGTAAAATTACAAATGTCTTTATTGTCACTTTTGATCAATTGAATGATCCTTGCTGAATAAAAGTAATAGTTTATTAGTTTATTTTATATAAAAAAAAAAAAGTAAAATTAACGATATGAATAAGGAAATCCCCCTTCAAAAATTCAAAATAAAACCTAGGAAAACTATTACCATAAAGGATTGAGACTTAACTTTAACTCATAGAAAGGCTTCCTCTAATAAAAGAAAAAACATTTAAACTCACGTGTTGGTGGTGTGTAATATGGAAGCTTGTTTCCACCACAGATTGAAAAATAAAAAAGCTAATTGCCACTTTTTATCTCGCAATTCTGACTTTATTTCTCACAATTGCGTGATATAAAGTCAGAATTGTGTGATATAAAGTCAGAATTGTGTGATATAAAGTCGCAATTGCGTGTTATAAAGTCAGAATTACGAGATATAAAGTCAGAATTGCGTGATATAAAGTCAAATTCCGTGTTGTAAAGTCCGAATTGTGAGACATAAACTATTCTGAAGGGAAAAAAGTTAGTCTTTTTCCCCCCTTAAAAATGGCCTGATAACTCGCAATTGCGAGTTTATATCTCACAATTCTGAGAAAAGATGTCAGAATTTCGAGATATAAACTCACAATTATGTGTTATAAAGTTAGAATTGCGAGATGTAAACTCGCAATTGTGAGAAAAAAAGTCAGAATTGTGAGATAAAAAGTCTCAATTCTCTTTTTTTCTCGCAATTGCGACTTTGTTTCTCATAATTGCGACTTTATATCTCGCAATTGTGAGATAAAAAGGCGCTATTATTTTTGTTATTTTTTTTATTTAGTGGCGGAAACAAGCTTCCATAGTGTAATGTGTCATACATGTGTCGCCATGGAAAAAAATCTTAAGACATCCTAAATAAACCTCTGATGCCAAATTTTCCACTACGGTAAAAGTAGAACATGATTCTTGCCATGTAAACCGCATGCTTTTCATGCAGTTCCTGATAAAGTTACCAGCTATTAACTTGTATAATTTACACACAATTTACACAGTATATACTTGCAGAGGAGTTTGTTTTGTGACCCAGCCTCAGATGCACAGCAGAGACAGGTGAGAGGCGAGAGAAGGGGTTGTTAGTGCGTGGAGTGCGTTGTTAGGCGAGCTGAGGATGCTTTCATGCCTTTGAACACGCAACATGTGCTGCCATTATCCCCCCATGTCTCCAAAGGTTGAAAAATGTGGCAGTTTTTTTTTTGTCCCATTCATTATTTAGAGAGAAGCAGAGCTAGAGAGAGGCACCATAGTGAGACTCAGTGGGAACTCCATCATTTCTCTTGTCACAGTGGAGCCACTTGCCACGCTTACATCAAAAATGAATAGTGGAAAGGCTGAACATTTTAAAACAGGCGGATGTGGGTTAAAGGCAGGGAGGAAAAAACAGGAAGGGAATTCAATCAGAAAGAGTAGGTGTAGCCTATATCTGTTTGGTTAAATGTCAGATTTACGTTTTGTTTGACATCTGAGAAAAACATGATTTGTGTGAAAGACATGATTTACGAGACATTTACAAACAATGAAATGAATTGTTTATAGCCCAAGGATAATAGTTTTAAAGCTGGTGTTCAGCATGTGAGTGGCACGCTATGAATCTGGGCCGGAGAAAACACAATACCATAAGGTGTTCATTTAACTGGGATCCTCCCTATGTAAAGACGTTGCATAAACTGAGGGCATCTTAGGGCAAAATGTGTAGGCCTACATGTGACTTACGGTATGCAAGGAAATATATTTTCTGAGATAAACATGGTCAGCGCATGTTGAGTTTCAGTTCCTTTGAGAAACCAGACAGCAAAAATATCCTTTTCAATCCTCATTCTGACTCTCAGTCTGAAATGATCTGTTTTAAGGCGCTGCGCCTTTAAGGGTTGTAAGTAAACGGCCACTGTTATGATTGAGTAATGTCAATGCGTAGGAAACGCCCACTCGTTATAGCACGAGTAAGTGATTTGAAAACATTATCCATATAAAACTGCCATTTAACCGGTTTGTGTTGCAGCTGCTGTAAGATCCAACAAAAGTTTCTTGGCGAATTCCTACATTACACTGTGCCTCGTTTACAATACATCTGCCGTCAAATGCTCTGAACAAACATATAATTCTCAGACGTGATCCGGGACGCCATTAAAAAATAATCCATCCACTTGTTCCTGATGCAGGGATCCTTCTGTAGTCTGTACAGAGACATTAAAAAAATGGACTCTTCCATTTGTCCTGTTGTCGACAGACGTGGAGCATGACAGAAACTATTTTTTTCTTTAAAATAAGGATCACGAAAAGCATGTAATTTACTAATGGTTCCGACAAAATGTTAATTGCTGCAGTCAGTTAAAATATTAAATTAATTTGAATTCATTTTTTCTTAGAAATCGGTTTGTATGAATGACTCGATGATTCAATGGCAAACTAATTTTTAACAGTCCCTCGTCGCCACCTACTGGTGTAATGATGTTATTGCTACAATCTTAATTTGAAGCGTCAAGTTACTTTTAAAAGGTGATTTACTCTAATTTGATCGCTACTAAACTTTTACCTTAGTACTTCTGTGATGATTTGAATTATTGTAAGACAGAAATAATGATACTGTGTGGTTAAAAAAGACTGTTTGTGAAGCTGTTTCATACCTATTCATGACAACTCTCTCTGGCTCAGCGGCAGCGCAAACACAGAATTAAATGTTCTCTGTGATTGTACTTGTCAAAGGTGTAAAGGACACTAGCGAATCGCCGTCATTTAAGAATTTAACAAAGTTTGCGTGGGCGTTTGAATCGAGATCACAAATCTTTTAAAGATGAATCGTGCAGCTCTATCTGTATACTGTATCAGTGTAGACAGTGTCAGTGATAATAATCAGCTCTATTTGCTTTTGTCCCAGCGCTCATCCAATGTAGGCGAATGTTGGCCGTTAAGCGACTGAACGCCAGTGGGCTATGATGTGATGATCTATAGCTATTCGTCAAGGTCTTGCTCTGGAGGCAGTCATATGCAAATGTATTTGCCCATGTGACGTCATCCCACAAAATCCAAACAAGCCATTTTTGGAGCTTGATTAAATAAATGCTTTGTTTGTAATGAGGAGGATGTTTTAAGCTATGAAAATTGCTTACATTACATTACAATTACATGAGGGTGAGTCATTAATGACATAATTGTCATTTTTTGGGTGAACTAACCCTTTAATAAACCTCTTTTGAACAACCCAGTGCAACATGACCTCTTTAGGACACAAAGGCACCTGATAAATCAGACAGAATGAATGCTGGTCTTCTCGTATCTCTCACCAGCTGCCCCGGAGCACAACGGATCACAAAATATCAAACGTCCCTCTCTATCACGCAGAGATGTGAAGTGTCTGTAATTATGATGGAGTGTATTAGCAACAAAACGGAGAACCTATGCAATTACATCTGCGCAGCAGGGGTGTAAAACTGTGAAATTAACGTTATTTACCTGCTGTATTTCCAGGGGTAGGGGGTATGAGGGGGTGTGTATCTCCATTTCCTCTTTATCAGCACTCTCCCTTGGGATCTTCTCTATAGAATAGAAGGGGAAAAAATGCTAATTTTACTGACTTTACTGATAGAGACTATAATACAAACCATCACACAGCAGAGTTTAAAAAGTCTTTAAAAAACATGTCTTTAAAAAACACTTTTATTACTGATATAATAAAATAAACGTTAACTGAAAGAAAAAAAAACACATAAAAAATAATAATAGTATTAAAAACTATAATAGTATCTCAATTATACTAAAATAACATCAAATATAACAAGAGCAATAATACATTTAATATTATTTAGTCTCATTCCATCCTTTCGAAACATTTGGCTTTTAATACAGCAGGGTTTGTTGTCCTGTTGTTTTCATTTTAAATCCTTTTCTAGTAAAGAGATTAGCCAACGAAGCATAACAAAACACGCTAACTTAGCTTGAACACTAAAACTTACATATTTGGTGAACTTTCTGATTGCTTTCAACAGTTTAGTGAAGAGACTCAAGTTACTACATGGAAAAACGTATTTACATACCCATTATTTTGTCCGTTTGCTACAAAAACAGTTAAATTCGAGTCGTATGAATCAATGCGCGTGAAAAGCACGCCTCAGAGGTGAAACTTAAGCGTTACTTAGTTACCACGACAACTGCGTAAGTTTCTACGCAAATTACGTAGAGACTAGAAGAATGCGGAGTATTCTCGGAGCGCATGAGAGGGATTCACATACCCAACCCACGCACTGACAGAACTGTATTTATTTAAGGATCCTCCTTAGATATTGTCGTGCCCATGTTTCGCTTTGACAGTTATGTGAATCATGTCTAAAAATGCTGATTAGCTCGACTGCTCATGCCTTCGTGATGGCTGATCCGCATTTACAGCAGAATAGCACGGATGTGTGTGATAAAAATAAAACAAGTGGGCTTTGAGGGGATTTTTTCCGAGAAAATCCTCGAAACCCCGACCTTATGTGTCTCTCTATGCTAAACCCTGGAAGACACGCAACGGGATTTACTCTCAAGCTCTCTGTGTGTAATCTGGATCCTTTGGGTTTTTTTTCCTGTCACGATTAAATAGTAATATAGCCTAGATAAATGTCGTTAATATATGAAATATTGCACTGCTTTTTAATCAGTTGATTGTATGTGTGTTAAATGGATATAGTTCACCCAAAAATGAAAATGTATCTGACTCCCCTCCCAAACCGGTAGGACTTTCGTTCATCTTCAGAACACAAATAAGATCTTGTTTAATGAAATCTGAGAGCTTATCCCTCCATTGACAGTCTACACACAATTACCTGAAAATGTGATGCTTCAGAAAGATCATAAAGAGATTATAAAACTATATGAATTTAGCAGTTTAGTCAAAATTTTCTGAAGAGACACGATGGCTTAATATGTTGAACAGATTTTATTTAGCCTATAAACATTCATCAGCGAACAAACAGAAGCTCAACCGAACCTGCTTGACACAGGAGAACCTGAAGCTCAAACGTGCTGCGTAACACCAGAATGAACAACATTTGAGCTTCTGTTTACCACAACTGTTATAAGTTGATGAATGTTTATGTGAATAAAAGCCTAAATTCAATCTGTTCATCATATAAAGTGTTTGAGTCTCTTCAGAAAATATGGACTAAACCGCTCAATTCATATGGATTAGGCCTACTTTATAATCCCTTTATGATCTTTTTGAAGCATCAAAGTTTCCATTAATTGCTTAGGCTGTCAATGGAGGGACAGAAAGCTCAGATTTCATTAAAAGATCTTATAGTTTGTGCTCTGAAGATGAATGAAAGTCTTACTGGTTTGGAGTGAATGAGGGTGGGTGAGTTTTATTTAATGACTGAATTTTCATTTTTGTGTGAACTATCCCTTTAATCCAATAGAGAGCCACCACTGTTTCATGGCACTGTGCCCGCGGGACTGGGAAGCTTGCGTTTATAGAGTTCATCCAGGCACGCTATGTGTGTGTGGAAGTGTGTAATGTAAATAGAACCTTGCCGAAAGGACAAGTCACTGAATGAGTGTGTTTGCGTGCGTTAGGGTTTGCGTGCGATCCTGTGCGTGCTGTGGCGTGAGAGTAGGAAGAGATGGGTGGAGTCTAGACTAAAAAAAATGAAAAGGCACTCAAGCTGTTTTATTGATTTGTATACGTTGAGGTATTGCATATGCTCCTATTAATATGGTTTATGGTTTACCTTATAGCCTACTCTGATGTATTGCTGTATTTGTATTTCTCAGAACCCCTGTTTACCTGTATTGTGAATGCTATTTTTCAATGTTTGTAAGATTTTGTTTTTTATTGAAGGCTGTAAACCTTTTTTTGAAAACCTCAGAAAGCCTACACATGGCCAGCTATAACAGATCAAGCAAACAATAATAAAATGTTGTGACAATGAATCTGGTATAGCCTACTGACTGCGATAGGTTAACGGCTAATTTTCTGAACAGTGGTGCATATACTATTTTAGAAAAAAATCCTAAAATGTAACAAAACAATGTTACGAACAAAAACATATTAGCATGTAGGCTACATCAATTTCCGCTTAAAGGAACAGATCACCCTTAAATGAAAATGAAGTCATTGTTTACTTACCCTGTTGTTGTTCTAATGCCATATGCCATTTAATATTGTCGTGCATGTGGTCGTTTGTTTCTTGTCTGAAAATAGCATGATGGAGCTGATGTAAGGCACAGACCATGAAGTTAAATAATTAATATCATAAAATGTGTGCCATATGTGTCTATTTGTAGGCTAAGCCCGCGTGCATTAATTATTTTTTACATGCCATGTTGTTTACTGATCTGTTATATATAGCCTACTAGCAGGGCATGTTTTCCTTTGTGCAAAAAATAGGCTTGCTGAGGTTTGTTTTTTGTTTCCACTACCAGTTTTCAGCCTCGCACTCAGCCCTGAGGGATTTGTGCCTCCCAGGGAACCTAAACACCAAATGGTCTTTTCGTGCTGTCTGCACGCACACGCGCGTTAAACCCAATCTCGCAAATCAATTAAAGCTGATTGCCAGTGTGTCGCTTCCATATCAGGCAATGGCGTGACTGCTGTTCACTTCTCGTCCCAGTTCCGTGAGAGAGGGCTATAAAGTGGAAGACACCTGACATGCAAGCAGCCTGTTACAGGAAATAAACCCTGGTTTAAATGAAATTGAGGAGTGGGTTGAGCGTGACGTCGCTCCTAATATGATTTTACATTAATACCACCAGACTAAGAATAGGCAACATTTTGAAGGAGCAAGCTGTACTCGTGCGTGCCTGTGTGTTTAAGGATGGAGGAAGGGAGATTTAAAGGCGCCCTTGTGAATCGATTTGCATGAGAAACGCAGAAGCGAGCCGGCTCTTCTCACGGCAGCGCGTGGTGTTACACATTTGAGCGGCGGATGTCGTGACAAACCCCCGCCATATCAGTTCAAATAACCGCTGAGACTGACTGAAGAAGTCACTGAACAACAAACACACAGTCACGCATCAAGCGCAGGGGGCGTGGCCTCAACAACTGCGTCACAACTGCCACAAACACTGCCTGTTCTTCACCACAAAGAAAACAACGGGGGAAATGCAATGTGGGCTGCTGCATTAGGTGTTAATTAGTGCATTTACAGAAAGCATATTATTTATAATTATTTTAATTCATTTTAATTATTTGGAATTTGTTATATTAGAAATGATTCAGAATCTTAAAATATTTTTTTCATTATTTTGACAAGTATACACACACATAGCCTACATACAGTAACAAATAGTAAACAGTACTATTTTTTTTATGTTTTTGAAAGAATTCTCTTCTGCTCATCAAGCCTACATTTATTTGATCAGAAAAAAACGGGAATATTGTAAAATATTATAAAATAGACTTTTTTTCTATTTTAATATACTTAAAAATATTATTTATATATGTGATACAAAGCTGAATTTTCAGGATCATTACTCCAGTCTTCAGAGTCAGTGATCCTTAAGAATTCATTCTAATATGCTGATTTATTATCAATGTTGGAAACAGTTGTGCTGCTTAATATTTTTTTATAACCTGTAATACTTTTTTTTTAAGGATTCACTGATGAATAAAAAGTTAAGAAGAACACGATTTAGCCTTTTCAAAATATAAATATTTTCTAACAATATAAATCTTTACTATCACATTTTTTGGGTCAATTTAACACATTTGAAAGTATTAATTTCTCTCAAAAAAAGAGAGAAAACAACTACTGTCCACAAACTTTTGCTCGGTAGTGTATATATTACAAACAAATCTATTTTTAATAAATGCTGTTCTTTTTTTAACCTTTTATTCATCAAAGAATCCTGAAAAAAGGATTAAAAATATTAAGCAGCACAACTGTTTCCAACATAATAATAAATCATCATATGATTTCTGAAGGATCATGTGACACTGAAGACTGGATTTAGCTTTGATCACAGGAATAAATTATATTTTTACCTATATTAAAATAGAAAACCATTATTTTAAATTGTAATAATAGTTCACAATATTACTGTATTTGTCTGTATTTTTGATCAAATAAATGCAGCCTTGATGAGCAAGAGACTTCTTTAAAGCATGGTTAAAATGTTTCCATATTATATTGTTTTATTGTATTGAATGAATTCTGGAAGTTCTTGCTTTTTAATCACATGAGGGAGGAATCGGTGTCGAATTGCAAACAGGTCATGACACCAAACACACCGACCCTGAAGACAATACATCCGAGCTGTTGTTCATGCTGAGCAACGTAATTAAAAAAGATTAAACAACAGGTCTGACTCAACATGGTGACCCTAGGTAAACTTTAAAGCATGACGTCAAATAGTGGATTCAAATTTTATTGTTAATCATCGACACCGTGTCTGGAGTAGATAAACCACTATCTAAAGATCTAAGCGGTTTTCCTGAATATCTAACCATATAAATAATCTGCCCCTCCATAACCATTCATCTCAAATGACATGTAACAGGCAGTTTTAATGGACTGTTTACACTTGATACTGTTAATCACCATATTTGAGATATTTTTAAATTTCACTCTACAGTTGCAAACCCCGTGCTAACGTAATTATTTGCATATTAATATATAAAAGTCAGTAACGTTGACTGGATGCACAGAGCCTGTTTAAACAGCCAAAGTAAGCACTATTTAGTTTATGATTAGTTGTCTTTGTTGTACAATTTACTATTACATTCTCATTGTTTCACACTGGCACTACATTTAGTATTAGCAGAGCAAATTTACATTATACCAGGATTAAAGTGGCCGCAGGACATGTTTTAAAAAGACTACTTTTGTATAATCAAGTAGTTAGTTCATTTTCTGGTTGCTAAAAAAAAGAAGTCAAAACAATCAGCCTGTCCAATTATCCCTTAAAGGGATAGTTCACCCAAAAATGAAAACTCTGTCAGTAATTACTCTCCCTCATGTTGTTCAACCCCGTAAGACTTTCGTTCATCTTCGGAACACAAATTAAGATATTTGTGATTAAATCCGAGAGCTGGATCACTCCTCCATAGGCTTCTAAGGGATCGAAACTGGCCGGCCCAAAAGTTATGAAAGACATCGTTAAAATAGTCCGAGTGACTACAGTGGCTCAACCTTAAGTTTATCAAGCGACGAGAATACTTTT